GGGGGGAGGGAGGGGCCCGGAGCGGTGGCTCATGCCTGTAATCCCAGCACTTGGGAGGCCAAGGCAGGTGGTATTGCCTGAACTTACAGGTTTAAGACCAGCCTGAGCAAGAGCAAGACCCCCTTCTCAAAAAAAAAAAATTATGGTGAGTGCCTGTAGTCCCAGCTACTTGGGAAGCTGAGGCAAAAGAATCGCTTAAGCCCAAGAATTTGAGGTTGCTGTGAGCTATGACGCCACTGCACTCTACTGAGGGCAACAAAGTGAAACTCTGTCTCAGAAAAAAAGGAAGGAAGGAAGGAAATATTAGGTAGAGTTAAATGCTATTGTGAAATACTGTGGAAGGTAAAAGCATAAGGAATGACGGAGGGGTGGTGTTTTAGAGTGCTCAGGGAAGGCTTCTGGGAGAAGGTGAATTTTGCAGAGATTGGGGACCCAATGTTCTGAGGTCAGGAAGACTGGAGAGGGAGGATCAGAGGTGTCCTAAGGGGGCACCTTCAAGTGCCCCCCCAGCCCCTTGATTTGAAAATGACTCAAGGCAACAAAACGTGTAAGATCTGAGCGCCCCTCTCCAGCTGGAGTAAGCCAAATAGCAGACAGCACAGCTTCGCTTATATGGTAAGAAGAGATGTGCCCTGTGAAACGTGTCAGGAAACTCATCCATGCAGCTGCGGTTGGACTGAAAAGAGGTTAGATCCAGACAGGGATGAAGCAAAGGGTTGCTTTCTCAGGGAACTTACAATCTCTGCCCCCTCAGAGAATTTTCCTGACACCCTCAACTGCGCAGAAGTAAAAATCATTCCCCAGAAGAAGTGTGAGGACGCCTACCCAGGGCAGGTCACAGAAGGCATGGTCTGTGCTGGCAAAAGCAATGGTGCTGACACATGCCAGGTGAGTGACTTACAAAATTATTCTCTTCCCTCCTGTCACATCCCTCTAGAGCAGCGGTTCTCAACCTGTGGGTCGCGACCCCTTTGTAACAATGAAAATACATCCTGCATATCAGATATTTACATTATGATTCATAACAATAGCAAAATTACAGTTATGAAGTAGCAACGAAAATAATTTTATGGTTGGGGGCCACCACAACGTGAGGAATTGTATTAAAGGGTTGCAGCATTAGGAAGGTTGAGAACAATTGCTCTAGAGGCTGAAGGCTTGGCTAGGAGGTGTGGGGGATGCTGGCCTCAAAGAGATAGTACCCACAGAGGTCACCATTATTGCAGAGCGGAAGCCAGGTTCAGAGAAGGCAAAACTCTCCCTGAAGGTCACACAGCATAGGGATCAGGAGCATTGACTTATTACTGTCATTTTCTTGAGAACTCTTGCCCACAGGATGGGGTACAGAGAAGGAGGTTGGTTATAGAGGCTATTAGAGCAGTGTCCTTTAAGGTGAGAGTCTGGGGCTAGAGGTCAGGCAAGCTCTCTGCTCCCTTTCCTATGGTTGCATCCAAGAATTTGTGCTGACTTTACCACTGGCCAGGTAGTCAGCCACTTTTCTTTGAGATCGGACGGGGTTCCCAAGGACAGCTCCCTTCTATGATTTGTTCCCTGAGGAATAATGCTGGTTTCCCAATCAGCTAGGAAATGGCCCCGTTGACGTCAATGCTTCTTCAATGAGCTCCCATTTCTTTCTCTTGGGATTTGTCATAGTTATAATACTCTTTCCTAAGGCTGCAATTCCAGTCCTTTGTCCTTGGGGCTCCCCCGGCTTTGTCCCCCTTCCTGTAAGCCCCGCCCCCTTTGCTAATAATTGGTCCTTGAAGACAATGCTTTCTTCCCCATTGGCCAAGAATGGAGTCATGTTCATCATTGGTGCTGCCGTGAAAGCCAATCTCTCTGGAATGTTCCATAGATACAGTGGTTTCTTTCGCAATGATTTCTCTGCAGATTTGGGGTGTGTGCGTGTGTGTGTGTGAGAGAGAGAGAGAGAGAGAGAGAGAGAGGCAGAGACACAGACAAGAACCCTGATCCTTTCTCCTTTGTTTGGTAATGGGAATCAATGATCTCTTCACTACTGTCGGGAACTGGAGGAACGATCAGCTCAGTCCCTTCCATGTAATCTCTTACTGTACCCTTGAGACCGCTTTCTTTACTCTCATTGGTTAAGATTTTGATCATTGCCCTTAGACATCCAATCTGTTTCTTTGTACATGGAAGAAGGCTCCAAACCCTCTCCTGACTGGTCTCAGGAGACCATGCTCTTATCTCAGTTGGCTAGAGGGGACCAAGCTTGCTGAAGAGCTGGTATTAAACACTCTGGGTACAGCAGAAAAAGGCACTTTGTAAACATCTTAGGTGAAACTCCCTTCTTGTTCTTTCCCTCCAGGGTGATTCTGGTGGCCCCCTGGTGTGTGATGGGGTACTCCAGGGCATCACATCCTGGGGCTCAGATCCCTGTGGGATGCCCCAGAGACCAGGTGTCTATAGCAACGTCTGCCGCTATCTGGACTGGATCAAGAAAACCATGGGGGGCAAGAGCACATCCTAGGATAAGCCCTGGATCCCCCTCAATAAACTTCAATAAACCCAGCCTGGCTCCTTGCCTCTCTGTGTTTTGGCCCTATGGGAAGGGGCAAAGGGGAGGAGAGCCCTCCTGGCAGGCTTGGTGGGGATCTAGAGAGACCTGGATCACTTACTCCAGCTATCACCACTGCCTGAAGCAACCTCCCTTTTTTTCTAGAAGGACTTGGATGAACGAGAGGTAAATCTCCAGAGAGGGAACATATACACGAGTTTCCAAAAATCCAATGGGATGATCTGTGAAAGACAGTTTGAAAATGTTTTGTTTAGTTTAGCAGCTAAAGTGTTTACAAATCTTAGAGGGATATTTGTTTCCCCCTTTTAAAAAAATAAGCATAAGAAAGAATGCAGGAAACATATGAAGAACTTAAACATTCACACCATGAAACCATCAGTCAGATCAAAAATCTTTTTTCCTCCTCCAAAAATCCTTTTTTTTTTTTTTTTGAGACAGAGCCTCAAGCTGTCTTCCTGGGTAGAGGGCTGTGGCATCACAGCTTACAGCATCCTCCAACTCTTGGGCTCAAGCGATTCTCCTCCACCTCTGACTCCCAAGTAGCTGACACTTACAGGAACCTGCCACAACGCTGGGATATTTTTTGGTTGCCATCATTGTTGTTTGGCGGCCCAGGCTGGATTCGAACCCACCGGCTCAGGTGTATGTGGCTGGTGCCTTAGCTGCTTGAGCCATAGGTGCTGAGCCCCCCAGAATCTTGACAGCCCCCAAAGTCTAGAAATCTTTTTCACACCTTGGAGCCCTCTGGTGGTATTTGCTGTGGTAGAAGGAAATGAATGTTGTGTCCAAACTGAAATGTGAAGCAAAGGGCATCTGGGGGAGTTTTCAGCAAAGATTTAATGTAAATTGTCTTAGGCAAAAGATAAGCATGGAATAGGGCTAGTTATTGTTAGGACATAATTACTGTCCTAGGATTTCTTAAATTATGTTCTCATGCAAAGGAATGTGGGCCAGCTCACCTTTTCCCCTTCAGCTGTATTATTGGTCACTGACTGGCCAATCCTTTGACTGCATTATGATCAGGTGATCAATCCTATCCAATCAGTGGCTAACTTAGAGTCGTGTGCTATAAAACATGGCCACCTAGGACTTTGGGAAGATATTTCTCCACAGGGGTGTGGGTGGGTGGGTAAGAGTACCAACACCAGAAATCCTGAGGAAGTCTTTCAAGATTGATATTAAATTTTTGAGGCCAGGGATGCATTTTTGGAGGTGCTACTTTAGAAACATCTCAACTCAAAGAATTGTTTTATAATTTTTATTACAAAAAATTTCAAATACATGCAAAATAGAACAGCATAATGAATCCTCATTTACACCATCCAGCTTCAACAACTAATGCAAAACCAATTCTTGTTTCACATATACTTCCACACACTTCCCTAATACCGGAATATAGCAGAACTTCCATAGTTGACCACCTCCCTACATTGATCTCAAGTTGAACTAATCTTCATAGACCAGAATGCACCTCATATACACATCAGTACAGTAGTTTAGTTCCTTATGTTGACTGCCTTCATATTTTTGTCAATTTGTTATAGTCTCTTGGGTGGTCAACTTACCAAGATTCTACTGTATTTTATTATGTATTCTTTTAACCTTGTTTTTTTTTTTTTTTT